TCTCAATGCATTTTCCATTTGCAAATGAACATCAGAGGGCACTTGTTTGCATGGAACAACATTACTCTTGGTTTTGGTAAGATGATGCTTCATTCGATTAATATCTCTGCCTACAAAAGTAGATTTACAATATTGACAAATTAAGACTCGTTTGCCTTCGGAATTTTGCCCTTCTATAACATGTCATCATGGTATATCTATTTTTGCCTATGGTTTTGAGTAGACCTTGATGCTAATTCTTGATATGTTGGTGTGGAACGTGAATCCGAACCTTCCATTATCCTGTAAGTCCATAAACATTGAAAAAGTCAAGTGACTTTAAAAAAAAAAAAAAAGGAAAAGTAATGCAGGAAGTTTGATAATTTGTATGCTCTCTTTGAAAGCCAAATGCCAAGTAGCCAAAAACAAAATGGTGATTTGAAGTCTCCCTTGTATGAATATAAAATCAATAACATAAAAAAAAATTCAATGAAGAACAGGTTATGGCATGTACGTGCTTAAAATTTTGTGTCTTGATTTATAATTTAATTACTAAAATAGTTCTTCTCACGAAGTCATCTCACAAACTTGAGTATATTAACATACACTGATATTATAATGCGTAACAAAATTGAGAAAAAAAAGGAGCCATTAATGCGCATACATTCATTTCTATGTGTTGATATCTGATGTAATGACTCATGCAGTTCTCAGAAGTCATCTCATAGAATTGATTTTTATCGTAAAAAACTGTACGCAACAATTCTCGAGTGTTTAATTGCTTAAGAAAACATTTGTAATCAGCCCCTTTTCATCCTCCTCCTATCCCTCACTTCAATGGTAAGAATCTGTAGAGAATTTTCAATTTGGCCAGGACACAGAGCTGGTATGTTTTAACCTTGGATATCATGTAATAAAAGCAGAAGCTCCAAGAAAAGACGTATCTCCAAAGAGAGATCCTAATCATTCCTGCTAACTTCGTGCCAAGAGAGAAAATTCAACATGTCTTTTAATCCAAATACAGGAAAAGGATAATTTTATACCACTTAAGCACCAGTCAAATGACATGAGATGATACCATTAAAGTAAGTGTGCAAGAAGTACAACCCATGAAGTACCAAAGGAATGATCACATGTTGGAACACGCAAGCTTTCATGCATGGAGTTCAGTTTTCTTACGATAGCTTGGGATAAGCAACATATCTTACATTATCCAACATAATCATAGCCAATTTTTTTGGAGAACTTACATTGGATACGCATAGAGGTAGAATGCACCTTGCAAAATTTTTCACATGCAATTGCAAGGTAAAATCCTGAAAAAACCATTATTAATTTTCAAGCTTTCTGCAGTGGGTACTTCAAGATTTAATTGCATCTGTCCTGTGAGTACGTATAGGACAGTTGTGGACCAGTTCAAAATCTAGGGACGATGCATATTCAGGTGAACAGTAAACAGAAAGTTGGCTTTATTGTGTAGTTGCTGTGACCTTTTATTAGTATGAAACTTTGAAGTGGCAGCCAATGAGAATTTAGCATATTGGAAAGGTTATCAACCGGAATTTTCCATCTTCTTGAGGACTAAGTCAGGCCGTACTTCGCACTTCACATACAGGAGAAAATTCAAGCCCCAAAGGAAACACAACTTCACTCTAAAGTTCTAAAGAGTCTATATACAGACTGATCAAAATCAAAACCTTGCTACTAAGTAGAACAAAGAAATGTAATCAGAAAAAAAAAATTGCAGAAAAGCACTTCAAGGTAAGCAACACAAGCATGTTAAATTTAAAAAATAATCATACCCAAGGATTTTAATAGAGGTTTTTTGACAATTGAAGTGAAAAAAATTAAAATCCAGAAAATAGTAAACCTGAAAAACACTTCAAATCTCCAATCGGTTGACTTGATTGAGCTCACGTGGCTTGAGAGTTGACTCGAGCCTTGATGTCTTCCCATTCTCACTCCTCAGAGGCGGCGCCATGGTGGAGGAGCTGGAGGCTGGAGTAGCGAAGTGATGGTGATGGCCTATTAGGGTTTACAAGGAGCTGGTGTTCGTTCAAAGTGTTCGATAATTGGTTTGTCTATTTTTTTCCCATTTTTTCCTTTTTTTTTTTGAGTTTTTACTTGGTCATCAAGTCAAGTAGTCAAGCTGGCCAAAATTTTTTTAAAAACAAGGTAGAAAAGAGAAGAAAAAGAAAGTAGGTTTAATCCGATTCTGCCAGTTCCTGGTCAAGCTCCATTTTTGATTGAGTTTTTAACCATCCAAGTTTTTGAGTTGACTTGGACAGGATGACTAGCTGATTCTTCGTTCAACTAACTCGTCTAGTCCGAATCTAAAAACACTGGCATTTTTAGCCATTGTGGGGTCCAGAAATTAAATCCATTGTTTGTTGTTATACTTTCATAAGAGTAATTTGGCATTTAATTAAAAAGTTACTTTGGCTAGAAAATTATAGTTTTGGTAGCATTACTAGCCTTTTGTCTTTTTTTTTTTTTTTTTTTTTAAGATGAGTATAAAATGGGTTCGAGTCCGGTTAGTATCAGTATCATTGACTAGAACATGTCCGCGAGATTATAGATATCTTATAAGGATTTTTACAAATCATCAACTAACACAACACTCACATTAACATCTAAATTTGAACACATAACTTTTCATGAGAAACTAATCCTCCCTTAATAATTGAGCGAACTTGCATCGTCATATATTGCCAGCCTTTAGTCAAAAGTTTTAGGCGCTCCATATGTACGTTTACTCAACCAACTACTAGTGGACGAAATTCAAGCACCAATCAAGCTCTTTAATCTTTTACAGATATATTTAACATTGTATGAAAGCTTTCTATGCTTTTCACTTCAACAAGTTTTCTTACCCTGTGCAAGACGGGATTACTTTGTTGTTAAAGAAAAATACTTCTTAAAAGTTTGACAGTAATATTTGTTTCTTTATCTGTATGATTACATCACAATAACAACAGTAATTTCAAAATGTTTAATTAAATTTTATGAAAAGATGAACCTTTAAGCAATCCAAAAATTAACTATTTGAATCAAACTATTCAGAGAATTTAATTTCCTAACCCCTTTCGTCATTTCGTGGAATACATTTACCCACAATTTTATACAAAAAAAGTTTTTCCTAGAAAACATTTACTCAATTGAGATGAAAGAAATTTAAATGGGATGTAGTGCTTGCAAGCTATATAAATTGCTTTTCGGTAGTTTACAGAATGCTTGGCATTACAATTTGTAGAATACCCACAATTCTTCATAAGCCCCAATTTGCTATTGCTCTATGGAAGCGTATTTCCTACACTTCTGCCTTCTTTAATAATTTTCATTGACATGCATTGCTCTCTATTGTAAACTATGATTCCGTCTTCATGCCTTCTCCATTAGTGGACCTAGATCAACCATATCTAGACATGTTAAAAATATATGTGGCAAATTGAAAGAACATAATGATAATGCCTTGGCACTAAAAATATACACTGATATATTTATATGCATAACCATATGCATAGGAAATGAAGAGAAGCAAAAAAAACAAAAACAAAACAAATATTTTGCTAAAATAAACAGTGTAAATGCCATTGTTGTTAGACATATCAATAATATAGATAAATCGCTATCTTTAAAGGGAAATTTTAGAAAGGGTTAAATACCAAAAACCCCCCTGTGGTTTGCCTAATGTTCACTTTACCTCCCTGTGGTTTGGAAACCTACAATTTGACTCCCTGTCGTTTCAACTAAAGTAAAAGTCTAACGGAAAACATCTAAACTAACGTCTGAAAGGAAAATGTCAAAATTGCCCCTCTATAAGGGTTTTGGGCTAAGTACCAAAACCCCCCATGTGGTTTATCAAATGTACACTTTACCTCCCTATGGTTTGAAAATATACAATTTAACTCCCAGTCGTTTCACCTAAAGTGAAAATCTAACAGAAATTCCGTTAAATACACTTTAGTTGAAACGACAGGGAGTCAAATTGTAGGTTTCCAAACCATAGGGAGGTAAAGTGAACATTAGGCAAACCACAGGGGAGTTTTTGGTATTTAACCCTTTTAGAAACCATATGCCAGCGTGTGCTATCGGCGATTCCAATACATCTCCTGTCTGCTGTTGTGATGCCAGAATCAGTCTTTCGAATCATCGAGCGGGTCTGCTCCAACTTTCTATGGGGATCTAATGGCGGGGAACCTAAATGGCATTGGATTCACTGGTCCCACCTATGTTATCCGGTAGAAGAAGATGGAGCTGGTTTTCGAAGGCTTAGGGACATATATACGGCTTTCTCATGCAAGCTATGGTGGGCATTTCGAGCAAGATAGTCCCTCTAGGCTAGGTTTATGCACGCAAAATATTGCAATGGCCTCCACCCATGTCAGGGGGATATTCGGGCATCTGCTTCAGCGACCTGGAGGCGGATGGTCAATGTTAGTGGACAGGCAGAGTTATCCATGCTTTGGTTGATTCACAAAGGGCCATGCAACTTCTGGTATGATAACTGGTTAGGTAGTGGGGCGTTGTATTTGAGTGCCTGTGCGACCTAACTGGTCCTTTGGGGATTTCATAGTGCAGGGGAAGTGGGACATCCAGCGGTTGGGACAGGTGCTGCCATTAGACATCGCATCCTCTGTCATGAGGAAGCCGACCCTGGGAGGGGTACAGGACGCAGAGGTAATTTGGATGCCAACAACGTCCGGGCAGTTCACCCTATCCTCAGCATATCAGGAGGTCAGATAGGTTAATCATAGGTCCATCATCTAGTCTCACATCTAGGGCTCAAATCTGCCGTTGAAGGTCTCTTTTTTCATGCTGCAGCTACTGAGAAGAAGGTTGCCGTTGGATGAGGTTTTATGCACGATGGGGTTCCAATTGCAGTCCAAGTGTTTCTGCTGTGCTGCAACTGAAGCGGAGACGATTGAACATGTCTTTTTCACTGGACGACTAGTGTTGGAGGTTTGAAGCTTCTTCAATGCAATTTGTGGGGTCACTCCTCAACCTCAAAATTTAAGGGCATGCCTCCTGAGTTGGTGGCTGTTGGGGCTACGTCCGAAGAATGGAGATTTGTGCTTGCCAGATTGCCCAGCTGGATATGCTGGAATATTTGGAAAGCGAGAAATAGAGCAGTTTTTTACGGAGTCAGGCTACAGAGTGAAGAGGTCTGCCAGGCGATTTTCAGGGATATGAAAGCAGCGTTCGAGATTCAATTTACACAAGTGATAAATGCAAGTGCTTTTCCGGAGATGTGTGACGCAATTGCCAAACTCCCTCCCCCCAGGTATGGGTTCACCATTGTGGGGTGGAAGCCAAGTACGACTGGGCAGTTGACATTCAACACTGATGGGTATTTCAAAGGAAATCCTGGTATGAGTGGTGGAGGTGGAGTGATCAGGGATTCCGATGGTCAACTAGTTTTTGCGTTCTCAGCTTTCCTTGGTGAGCAAACCAGCTTACGAGTAGAGGTTCTGGCACTATTAATAGGACTTCGGCTGTGCGATGGACGAGGAGTGGCCACACCTTTTGTGCAATCAAACTCTGCGATTTTAGTAGGCGTTTTACAACGGCGGCTTTAGTGTCCATGGCATGTATGGGTGGAGGAAGAGCAGATATGGCAAATGGTTACGGTGGTGGATAGGTTTTTGCACTGTGTTCAAGAGATGAACAAAGTAGCAGATGCATTGGCCAATGTGGGGATCACGCATACCTAGGACCCGCTTCGGATTTATGACAACCTACAAGCAGCTCCAGTGCTGGTCAGGGGGGCAATTCAACTAGATCAGTTGGGAGTCCCAGCTATTAGGAGAGGGAGGAGGGTTGTGAGAGGAGAACCATTTCCTAGCGCTTAGAACATTGTGCTCCTATGTCCTGTGTTTGGCCTTTACATGAATAAAGTCTAAAATTTACTTTAAAAAAAGATAGTGGATCAGGAACAATGGCATAGGTCCCAACTATATTATTGATATGGAACAATGGCATATGGATTATTAAGAACAAAAGGGAAATTTCTTAGAAACTTACCTTTACAACTCAAGAAAGATAGTAGCTTAGGTTTATTTCTCCCAAAACAACTCCACCAACTACTTCAATACTACTAAGAGAAGGGTTTTTATGGAGCAAATCAAGGTTTTAACGGTTGGATTGTGAGATTGAGCAAGATTGGATGAAGAAAGTTGGAGGTTTTTTTCTTCTTTTCTCTCCCTAGAAGCTTGGCCAAAAGGGGCTAAGAATGAAGAAATATTTTGGTCAAAATTAGCTTTAAGAAGGTAAAAATATCTTGGTCAAAAGTCCACCCTCGAATAGAAACGCGACATGTGGCACCTTATATGTTTAAGGTTATCCTCTTGTCTCTCCATACTAATTAATTTAGCTAACCTCTAATTATCTCTTAACACCTTATAAAATAATATCACTTAATACAAAACTCCAACAAGTTGTCAAAAATATATCGCATTTACCGCACTAGCGGGTCCCACGTCCATAATACACTTCAAACTTAACGTGGACTAACTTGTATCAAGGAAATGATTCGAAAACTATATTCCCTTATAAAAATGTATAGGAAATTAATATATTGAAGAAAGGCATAAAATTATAGACAAGGAAACAAAATAATTTCTCGAAAATATATAAAAATTTTCAGGTTCTCACACTCATTCTTTCGGGGCGTCACAAACTCCCCTCCTTAAAAGAATGTCGTCCTCGACATTCCAACTTGCACTAATCAGATCAAAACATTCCTCGAAAGTAGTCAAATACTAGGAATCACTCTAATCCCACATATCAAAATCAAGTGCCAAGAAGCACCCCAATCCAACTGATCAAATCGTCATGATCCAATAGATAGTTGATCGATTAACTAGATAAAACATGCAAAAGGCTTGAAGTTGGACTTAAAGTCCCAAATATTAGGAAAATTCAAGACATGGTTTAATCTCAAATAGAAATTTCTCAAGTCGGAAATTTTTCCCTTGGCGGTGTTGGACAACACAACAAGCTAGCACGACGGCTATATTTTGCCAAAGAGTCTCAGTTCAAAAATTTCATCCTTGGTGGTGCTTGATAACACAACAAGTTAGCACAATGGCTAAACTTCACCAGAGGATCTTAGCTCAAGAAATTGGCCCTGGTAGTGCTTGAAAATACAACAAGTTAGCACAACGGCTATACTTCACCAGAGAGCCTCAAGTCAAAGTTTCATCCCTGATGGTGCTTGATAACACAACAGGCATGTCTCGCCAAAGGAATGGCGGTGCTTGATAACACAACAGGCAATACCTCATCAGAGAGGTTCAGTTCAAGAATTTCAATCCCTGGTGGTGCTTAAAAACACAACAGGTATGCCTCGCCAGAAGAATGACGGTGCTTGAAAACACACCAGGCAATGCCTCACCAGAGAGGTTCAGTTCAACCATTACAGAGGAGTAGTAGCCGGTCTACAACCACACAAGTACGAATAAGTTCAGAAGTAGAGTCAAAAGCAGGGTTCAAGTATATATAGGTTCAAAAGTAGGGCCAAATATTTCAGGTTCATGGAACATGAGTACGAATAGAAACTCACTTGCCTAGTTTATGCCTAGTAATTCATAGTCCCAAGTAGTCACAGAATTCAAATCCACTTACAGGTCATATATGAACCAAGCTACTTGCTCAAGCGTGAAAGAGATACCCTATTTTCAGTCAAGTCAGGTCTATCAAGTGTATGTAAGAGTACACTAGCTGAAACAGATTCAAGTCTTCAATAAGCTCAGTCTAGTCGGTCTCAGACAGATCAAGCATTTCAAATCCCAATGCTTACAAATTGGGTAGTGTACCTTAATCAAACAAGAAGACTAGAAGGAGGATGCAAAAATCAAAATTTTCCCAACAAATCCAGTCACCACCATAATGTATGAAAACCCTAGCCAAAATCTTATCGGATAGATCCAAGATAGCAGTCATCATTTCAATGTCCTCAACTAGGTTAATCTATTATACACTAGTAGATCTAATCTTCTAGTTTATTTTCGATTCATATTCAGTACTAGGATCTCCTTAAATTATATAAGACTATCCACCAATTTTCTCACAAGTACGGGGTTGTCTAAGCTCTCAGCCACGACCCCTTTTTCCCATTCCTGCTGCCATACTTAATAGAAGTCTATAAGCGCAAGAAAAGGAATAATTAAGCATAAAAAAACTTAATGCATATACAAGTTGCAAAAAATATTTAGAATCAAGACATGATTCTTTACATGTATCAAAAGTTATAGCACGAGTTAAGAAGTCACAAAACAAGCTCAATATGTCAACTACTCTATATAGGCAATTAAGTGCCACAAAATGTAGAAGTATATGCAAGCAGGATACAAAAGGCCTCACGGCGTGCACCACCCTTCCTAAGTCCTTAGTTAAACCAAAGGGTCCAAATATCACTAATTTCAATCAGATCACATGCCTTTACGAAATTAGATCCAATCAAACCATAATACAAGCTGAAACTAAAGGTTATCCATTCGAAGTTCAAAATCTTTAATAAGCAAGCCACCAGCCAGAGCACCATCATCTCCAAGAATAACTAGTCTTAGGGTTTTATAATTAAAGTCTCAAGCTCCAAGTTCAAATCCAAAAAATAAGTACAACTTGCTAACTTACGTGTCAAATGGAAACCAAGTCAATTCACACTAACTTCGTGCTCTTAAATGCGGTTACTCTATATCTCAAAGTTCCCTCAGTCCGTACACCTAAAGATAGGCTCACTCTGCTTGGAAACCAAGAATTTTAAAACATAAGAAAAGTATTTAAAGTAACAAAAATCTGATCAAGTTCAAGATTTACATTATAACAACAACAGTTCGCCATTCTTCCGAAAACTCAAGATTTTTTTTTCATGTAAAGCATAAACAAATTCAAGTGTGAGAATACACCAGTATACAATCAAGGGGAAAAACCTAGTTTAGAAAATTTTAACCTTGCATCAGCCCATCATATACAAAATTCAACAAGCTCATTAGTTCACATATTACCAAAATCGAAAAATTAGACTGGCTTAAAGCATATATATATTATTTCCAATCATCGTTTGAAAATAAACTAGTACATCCTAGTTTTTCTTTAGAATTTCAAAGCAGAAATTCTCTAGGAGGTAAATGGGCGGAAAATGCATTTTATTCCTTTGATACTCTTTTATCTTAGTTCAAAATCATCATACATAGAGTTGGACCATCAAATCTCGGTCCCTTATCCTCCCTAGTCAGTACTAATAATTACCTCAATCGCTTAACTTTCAAATCAAATCAAATCAAATCCCACAGTCCTGCATCCTAAACTTTAGCCTAGGATACACTACAGAGATCGGAAGCCTAATCTCTGATACCAACTGTGACAGCCCCACCTCCCCTTAAGGCGAACCAAAGGGTTCGGCGGACCGCCTGCCCAACTCTCGCCGGGACTCAGTCGTTCACTACAGTCCTCAATTAAATTACAATATAAATCTCAAATATACATCAAATTCCCCAAGAATTTCATATCATAAGTGAAGCGGAAACTAATTCTAAGACGTACACATACATCCACTTTAATTCCATACAGTCACACTAGCCCAACTATTACACAAAATGAATCCAAATCCAAATTGTACAAGATATATGCCATCCAGTCACACAAATAACGTAATACAAGCTCTTCCCTTGCCGCGATCCCTGTGGGGAGAAGAAAAACATTTGGGGTGAGCTAGAAACTCAGCGAGTGAATAGTGAAATCAGTAATCCAATAAGCTTTACGATAGTGCAGGTAAATGATGTCATGAATCAGTGATCAAATGTATGGAGTTTGCTCTTGTGAGCCAGTGAAATCCTTGCACTTAAATATCCAACGCTCCCTTAGATCAAGTAACAGACATACAAAAATAAGGAGCCATCGTGCTCCAAAGAATGCGTAAACAAGAGTGGAGACGTTAGTTCTAAGCACAAGATTTTCCCAAGAACTCGTCGGAGCCAAAATGTCATGGCACACACACAAACAAAATGATATGCAATCGTGCAATCAATGCAAGAATCATTTCAAAAGTAACTTTTGGGAAGTAGTGGAGGGATCACTCACCAACCACGGCTCATGAACCTCATCCATCATAGACAGTTTCCTCGATCAAGTCCAACTCTTCATTCGACCAAAAATTAACCCAAACTCAAAGCGATTAAACGTCCTCAAAGATTGGGCAGCACTTCCCCTTAAATTTCCTTATTTCCATCCTACAACAATCACCAATATCCATTCAAAACAGCACACATAAAAATAATCTCATTCAATAGGCTCAAATGGTACAAGTACAAATTCAAGCTAGGAAAAGTCCAGAAATGAAGTTTAAGTCAGAAAACAAAAGACAGATTTGACGTTGTTTTGCGTAAGGGACACAATTGCGGCTACGCTTATCGGATTGGGATGAAATTTATACCGTTTCGAAGCTAAGACAAAGGTATACAACTTTAATTAAGACCACTCAGTCCAGTTCATAGTGTAGCTAGGTCGAAATTGCATTATATAAAACCAGAATCCCACAAACAGGTTAGCTAACCGCACTATGGTTAAATGACAATAA